TCCCCAGCCAGCATGCTGGCTGGGGAATTCTGGGAGTTGAAGTCCCCCCATCTCCAAGCTGTCAAGGTTGAGAAACACTGCCCTGCAACAATAATGTAGCATTCTTGGAATCCTTCCTGTGTCTGTTTCTTGATCTGGCCTACTTTAAAGGGCTGACGTCAATCTTGAAAGCCTTTCCAAGTTTCTCTCGAATGTAGTGGGGAAAAGGTATTTCAGAAGTATATGGGGTAAAAGAAGAGAGAAGGTCAAGACAGCATGAATTGGTGTGTCGACGTGGTGCAAGCAAGGATGGCTTGGAAGGACAAACAGGTCTGAAGAGTGAATGGTCTTGGTGTAACCTAGATTTAACTGGGTTTCCTTTCTCTTCTCCCATACCTTTAATTTCTTCATCTTACTTTTTTTCCCTACTGTCTGTAACATTGCTTACTCCAGAAGAGAATAGTGTGTCGGGGATGTAGTGTGAATGACTGATTGGAGCAACATCAAAGCTTCAGCAAATAAAGACAGAAAATTCAGAAGGTGCCTTCCTGATGTAAGAGGATATCTGCAGCAGTAGGGAGCATCGTGGGTGACTAGTTCTGCTTCTGTTTTTGGAATAGGTGGAGTTTGGTGAGGGGCATTGTGTGAGTGCGCCAACCAGATGCTTCCAAAGTGCACCTTTAGGGATGGATCAGGCCATTTAGGCTGAAGGCCATGTGAAAATCCAGCACCTGAATTCACCTCTCTCTCTCTTTCCTTTTAGCCGGTCAGTCCCCCTGGTTGAAGCTCCGAAGGCCTCTTCTCAGAAGAACCAGCCAGAAGGAAACAGTCGTGAGAAGAAACCTCTAAGTAAGATGTAAAGAAAATTTGCACAAGCTGAGAAGTCTCTCTGTGTGTGAGTTTCATCAGAAATGTTCCCATTCTTCTGTCTCCCCTGTCCACCGCTGGCTAAGGATGAAGGAACTTCTGAGATCTTTGGAGGTTCCACTGATCTTCCTCAACTTTGTCCCCTCCATAAATATTGGCCATCAGGATTCATGGAAATTAGCAGACTGTGATTATTTCTCTGCTAGCAACTTCTAGAATCTTTTAGAGTCTTCCTTGTGTAGAAATCACAGTCATGAGAACAAGCTTTCTGTTTCTTCAACAATGGATAGTAAAGCTATGAAGATGGTATAGAAGTAGCTGGTAGGGTGTAGAGAGTAAGGGAGATGACCTTGGTGGAGATAAGCAAGCTCCATTGCCAAGGTGACAAGGGGTAAAACATTTTTAAAGTAGTTTTAGCCTTCCTGTGGAGTTGATTTCCTGGCTCGGTCTACCTAGGGGGGCTGACGTGGGGATATAGCCAAGACATCTAGAGGACCCCAGCTTGTGGGTAGCTGGTCTTCAAAGACTGGCAGTGGCTCTAGAGGTAACCTTCTCAAGCTGGGTCTCCTTGTAATGTGTAAGGTTCAGCTCCGGTGTCCTTAGCAATGGTCCTGCTGGACAAGGAATTCCAGGAGTTGAAGTCGCTCATGTGGAGAGGCCAAAGTGGGAAGACATTCCCACGGAGTCTCAGATCAAACTCTGTTGACATGGAGATGTTGAAGCTTAAATTGGGGACTATTCTGCCTTCCGAAAACAGAGGACGGATGGACGGACAGGAGGGAGGGAGGGAGGGAAGAGAGAAAAGGAAGTGATGTAAAAGGGGAGAGAGAGGCAGACAGGCAGGCAGGAAATAAATTTATAATTCCCTTTCTTAAACCACACCACTATTTTTTCTTAAACTTGTAAACTAATGGCGTGAACCAAATTTTAAAAACCCAAAGGCAGAGAGGTGAGAAACCCAAAGAGACTGAAACCGACTAACTGAGAGAGCAGCAGAGAGCAACCTGGACAGCAGATTACAGATCTGCTTTTGGAATCACGTTTGTGATTTAATCTGAGTTTTCAGGGAAGAGTCGGAGAAGCCAGCGTTAATGAATTAGCACGCTGCTTCGGTATCACGGATGATGACTGTTGTATTTTACCACTCTGCTCTGCCAACGCCTACGGTCTGAGGGGGTAGATGCATTGCATTAAGACGTAAATCATGCCGGATATGAAGATCTGTTCTGTTTCATTTTCCCCAGAGCGCCAACCTGGACGAGACAGCCGGGCCTTCCCAGCACAGCGCCAGGCATCTGCTTTTCCTTCCCCGTCAGTTAATTTGCCCCCCGGAAAAGCCGCCCCTGCAGAAGATCTCTCCGAGCCCACAGATTCAAACAGCCAGGTAGCGGGGCCGGGCCCCCGCCCTTTCTTCTCCTCTT